ACCCTTGAAGGCCGGCAAGGGCGCGTTGAAGAGGGGGGGGGGTCGTGGGAGGACGGGAGGGAGAGGACAAGGGCGACGCCCGGGGCGCTTCTGATGTGAATGCGCCAGACGAGATTTTTTAGAGGGCCGAGAGCGAAGGGCTATATTCCGATGATCATCGGAGAAGAAATGGCCCCACCCGCGTAAAGGGATGGCTCTCATGTTGACGACAGTCTAACATCATGTCTCATTTTATTTTTTTTGCACTCTCGTCGAAATGAAGCCACAAATTGCTCGACTTGCACCGCACGCACATGTGAACTTCACTACTTACTAATTCTTATGTTTTCAGTCACCCCCAAGTGCAGGGATCGCTCAAAACGGTCATATGTTTGCCAATTTCGATTCTCTTTTCTTGCAGCCCCTTTCCGCATCTGTCCCGATCTCCACGTTACTTCTAGAGATTCGGCTTTAGACAACACGAAGAGACAGCTGCGTTCCGAAACACCGAAACCCCAACTCTGTTCTGGTCCTCCTCCTGCATCCTCGTTCCGACACAGGCAAGCCCTCCTCCACTTTCACCGTCAGTGGAGCGATATCATTCCTATCTCCGAGGCTGCTCCTCCTTTCTTGTTTTTAGATTTTGTTCGGTAGCGTATTCATATCCCATATGTACACAAATGTGACGGCCAGCAACGGCAACAAAGGCCAGGGACGGAAAGGCGTCTCCTTCGAGACCAAACCGCAAACAAGCATACTGTCGCTAAGCTCGCTAGCCCTGCGGCAAAACTCCATTCTATACATGCGACAGTGAGAGCAATGCGTCAAGAATGCTTAATAGCAGTCGTGCCTCTCTCGTCTTTTTCTGTTTTCTTGGCGGTTCCTCGCCACTTTCCTGCATACCACAAACCCGTGCCTCCATGTGCCTCTAGGTCATTGACTCATGTACCTTACTAAATTTCTCGTCAGCTTTTTTCTTCTTCTTATCTCTATAGTGTGCGCACTCCATCAAAATCCCACGGTATCAATATCGCCGTGGCGCACGCCCCTGCAGGGTGACGCTAACCGCTCAAGCCTCCCTGGCTGAAGACCGAGGCCGCCGACGCTACGCGCGCCATATTTCCCGGCTGCACGCCTTTCGTGCTCTTATCCGCCTTCTTTCCCGCTTTTCCCTCCCCGGTTTTCTTCTCCTCTTTCTCCGCCTCCATGCTCTTCTCTGCCCTCCAACCCTTGTACCAATCGACAGTCCTCGCGATCCCTTCTTCGAACGACACCTTGGGCTGATAACCCAGCAGCTCTTGGGCTTTGCTGATGTTCGCGCACGTCCTAGGCACATCCCCCGGCTGATCCGGCAGGACTTTGATCACCGCCGCTTTTCCCACGTTTTTCTCCACCAGGCGGATAAAGTCCGACAAGCGGTACGGCGAGCCGTTGCCCAGGTTGAAAATCTGGTAGCCCAACGGCCGGTCCAGGGCACGCACCACGCCGTCGACGATGTCGTCGATGTAGGTGTAGTCCCGGGAGGAGGATCCGTCTCCAAACTGCTGGATCTCCAGCCCGCGGGAGACGCGGTCCACGAACTTGAAGGGCGCCATGTCGGGCCGGCCCCGGGGGCCGTACACCGTGAAGAAGCGCAAGCCGGTCACGTTCATCTTGTAGAGCGAGTGGTAGGTGTGGGTCATGAGCTCGCAGGCCTTCTTGGTGGCCGCGTAGGGAGAGACCGGGTTGTCCACGTAGTCGTCCTCGCCGAACTCCTCCAGGCTCGACCCCCCATACACCGAGCTGCTCGACGCCCACACGAAGCAGTCGTTGCCGTGGATGCGCGCCAGTTCCAGCAAGCGCGTGGTCCCGAGCATGTTGCTGTGGATGTAGATGAAAGGATCATCGATGGACGGCCGCACCCCAGCACGCGCCGCCATGTGCACCACGTGACGGGGCCGCTCTGTGATGAAGAGTTGTTCCATCGCATGCGCGTCGCATATGTCCGCCTCCACCACCCGCAAACGCGCCGACCCATGCTTGGCCAGGAGGTGGGCGACGTTGGCGCGCTTCAAGGAGGTGTCGTAGTAGTCGTTGAACTCGTCCACCACGACGACGGCGTCCCCGCGGCTCAAGAGATGGTCCGCCACGTGGCTACCTACGAATCCGGCCCCGCCCGTGACCAGGACTTTCTTCCCGCCCTCCACGGGAGGAGCGAGCAGAGAACCACGGTCCACACTCAAGAAGGAGTCAGCGTGTCGCTGCAGGTGGTCGGGCGTCTCGTCCGTGGCGAGCGAGGAGGTGTCCTCTTCGTCGCTGTCGTCTGTGGTGGTGGGGACCAGATCGGAGCCCGATGTCCGGGACTGATCGTCGTTCTCTTCCCCAACATTCTCTGCTTTGTCTGCGCGGCTTGTGGCTGCCGAGAAAGCAGGAGAGCTGCGCCGGTTTCCCCCCTCGCCCGTGTCAGAGGCCCCTGAGGCTTGCTGGGTCGAGGCGAGGCCGTTGCAGGACCCCACTACCTCGAGTTTACGAAGAGATTCTGCTCGTAAAGGCATGGGGATGCTTGTGACATCAGGCACCAGTAGGGCTGTGTCCATGTCGGAGCTGCTGTCGTGCTGCTGACGTTGATGTACGTATTCGTACGTCATATTTCGGTCGCTTGAAAAGAAGGTAAAAAGGGCTTGCTGCTTTTGCTGCCTCTGGAACGAGTACCGAACCTAGACGGTTGTACCCCCGTGTACTTGACTGTGATGGAAGGCGGCCTTGGGGCCGGTAAGGTGCACTTGGCTCAAGAAGTGGCTGGCTAGGACAGCGAGCTCGACGAGAGAGGCAGAGTGCAAAAACCCAGTTAGGGTGCGGTGAGTCGAGCACGAGGATGCGGCGGTGATGAGAGACGTGGTGCTAGGTGATGTGCAAAACAAAGCCCTCGACTAGTTCCCGTAAGTGAACGGGAGCCAAGAGATTCGTTTCTATAAAGTGCTTGCGTGGAGGTTGCTTTCCGCCTGACAGGAGGTGCAAATCTTGTGCGCGAGAAAGATGTGACGCGCGGAGCCGGGCGCTTCGATTAAATGAAGCGGGGTTTGGTGAGCTCTTAAAACACTGTAGATTGGTGTGTAAGTACGCAAGGACGGGGTATTAGTCAGTGAGGTTGAGTCAGGACAAACTAAGCAATGCTGCAATGTGTCGTCCACAGCAACGCAATTTGTGAACGCTACGCTATGCCAAGCCGCCGTCATTGACACATTGTTCGCAGTTTGGTCACTATCTAAGAGGTGGGATACGAAGCAAAGCCACAGGGCATCAATAGTTAGGTGAAAGACAGGTGAAAAGGCTCGCGAACAAGAAACGAGCGGCCCCGTGGCATCGAAGTGCTGATGAAAGGATCGCAAACGTCATCGTTGTGGAAAAAACTTCCTAAGACCAGTGCGGGCATAGAAGAACCACTTCACCGCGGCGAATATACAGTGCGAAGAAATATGACAAAAGAACGTTGATTGACATGTGAAATCCGACAGATTCCCACCAGGAGGAATGCCGACTGATTCAGACATGGAGCAACTGCAAAGAAAAGCGGGCGTGGCCGAGGAGAGGAAGACGATGATCCTTGGCACAGCCCGGAGTTTTCTCGCCCTCGTTAGCCACCACGTACACACCGGCACACTCACAAAGGACCTAACTATGGTTGTGTACATCTCTTACGGTGCATGGGAGCCCTGAGATGGCTTAGACACGCGTGAAATTGCATTTGGCCACCTCACCAGGCCTGGGCAAGTGGAGGAAAAGATCAGTGACGTGGTGTTAGCTCTCGCTCATAAGCGGGAGCAACAGCTCGTTCACGAGGCCACAATAACAAGGGATCACACCACGTAGTTCCGGCAAACGACCATAGCGCGATGTATAGAGCAGCTCAATAGAGCGAAAAGCTTTTGCGGTGTGGCCCGTGAAATGTTGACGGGTGACTTGGGGAGCTTTAGTTGCTTTGAGTCAAGAGGCAGTGCGACTGCTTGACCCTTCAAAGGCAATGGGCCGACGAATGCCGCGTACACTGTGAAATTTATCCTTTATTCGCGTTCCCGTATTCCAACTTCCTACAACGCCACCTTCTTTTGCGATCATGTTTGATGTAATGAAAAAGTGGATATGTTTTACAAACACGGCATTTCAGCCTCCCAACCTGGGTTGCCGTCGACTGGTTTCGTGAAAAGTCAATTCAATCGACCTGCCTGTATCCCCGGGAAATAACCCATATGTTCGTTAGCTTTTATTTCTTTCAGCGAGAGCATAGGGGCTCTCTTCGCTGCTATACTTCCCCTCTCTGTCACTCTTCCGCCACTGTCACTTTGCCGTTCAAACCATTGTGCTCCTCCCCTCTATCTTCCTCGCCTTCGTGCCCATGAAGCACTCCAAACAATCGATCCCTTTCGTCGAGCAACTCCACGTAAGACAGCTGCAATTGCTCTTCCCGCTTGGCCACACTGTCTGCCTGCGCATTTACCTCGGCCACGCGTGTCACAAGCGCCTTCTCTTCCATGGCCTTCAGCCTGCGAAAACATCCCACCTCCAAACGCATCTCATCTATCTGGTCTAGGGCCTCGCTCACACCGTGCAACAACGCTGTTGCGCGTTTCACATAGCCACCAGTGGCCAGATTTAAGCGTGTATCGAGTTTGCTCGCCCTTTTCCCAACCTTCTCCACGTGACCGGCCAAGGTATTGAATTCGTGGACAACTGCGGCCAGCCGATCCTGCTTGCTGGCGCCTGTCAGCCTCCCAAATGCCTGGCGGCCAGGAAAGTACGCAAGATCGTTGTATCCTTTCAGCCAGTCTCGCTCCAATGCCACTGGGCACATGTCCCCCTGCGAGTCGACACCCGCCCCTTCGCCCTTTCCACTTTCCTCGCTTCCACCCTCCCCTCCGTAAGAATCAACTGCCTTTCGGAGCTTCGCCGCTTCTTCTGCCACAAGATCACGCGCAGTGCTCAACATTTGCGGTGGTATGATGGGAAGGACCCCCCTGTCCCCGTCTGTTCCCTTACTGCTTCTTCCATTTCCTTTCCCCCCCGCCTCTCTGACCGGATACTTGGCCGCCTCCGCGCGCAACACAGCCAACAATTCTTGCTGCACCATCGCGTCCGCGGCCGCTATCTCGTCAGCCTCGGCTGTCGCGGCCCGGACCCGAGATGCGAACATGTCCGGGTCCACAATTCGTGGCCGGGGCAGCCCCCGCTTCAAGACCGCGGACCGTCGTGCCAGCTCCGC